AGATGCAATGAACTGCCGAACGTCGCTGATGGAAGTAAGCGTCCTGTCGCAAAACTCAAAACCTCTGCCGCATATGAATTCGCATATGCCCCACACCGTAAGAGGCGAATCCGAAATTACCGACAGAGCCGCCTTCAGGCTTTGAACGACATTTTCCAAAAGAGCCGTGGAATCCGCTGAGATTGGCAAGTCTAGGGCGGTCGAAAAATATGGCAGAGTGATGTACAATGAACCAGGATCGGTAGTCACTGCGCTAAGGAAGTCTACGTTGGCTTTGAGAAAATCGTCTTTGTCAGACACCTCTTTGAAAAGAAGTTCGAAAACAAACGGCCACCTTCGCACTGACAATGTCTGATACCACTTGAAGGACGCTTTCCTAAACAACCCCGAAATCAAATGCAATCACAATCATGCTTTCTTACCAAAGAAGCGAGTTTCTTGTTGCCGAATACAGCAAAGAACGAGAAACCGCGCAAACTTGTGACAGCTCCTGTTCGTCATACACGTAAGCGTTACACAGCACTAATGATGAGGCGAGACTCAGCTTGATACACTTCGAAGTTTCCGTGGCGTCATTCTTTTGAAGATCCCTTAGTACAAACGCTGACAAGGAAGATTCGAATGGCATTTTTGTGCCACTGTCATCTAAACGCCATTTGGCTAAACCACACATAAACCTTCAACAAATTCAACCGTGAAAACACTATTCTCTTTAGTTCAGACAAAGCTCTCAGATTTGGATCAATTTTAAGGCAACACCATGCCATACAGTGAATAGCTGCCCTTCAATGGTCGCTCCCAAAACATACAAAACAACATGATGGTGTGCTGTATTGCAACAAAAGAGATGTTGTCAATTTCGACTTCTAGTCAGACAGTGACCCCTCTTAGCACCGATACTGCTATGGAGCAATAGCCCACCAGAGACCAAAATCACTATGGAAGATACAGCATTCTTACAACTATCACATGAATGGGTGCCGCTATGCTTAAAAGGCACACATTTGTGACGATGAAATCGTTTGACCCTACATGCAGGCGGGATCTGTGGGAATCTACAGTATAAATCTTTTCCAACTACTAATTCCCGAGCAGGCACATCACTTCAATGTGCTCCGGGGTAACAAAGTTAGAAAAAAAAGCAGGTTTACATCACGTGCTGATGATCACTCTAGACAATTAGCTGTCAGATGGGTCGATGCAAACTGAAAGCACAAGGTACACACTCTTCAGACAGCATGGCGGCATATCCAGCACGATGTAGTATGACCGCACCAGACACCATCCTACCCCCATTGTTTGACTGCCAACGACATACTACTCATTTCTCGGCTAGTTGCACAGAAGTATAGTAAGATGAATACTTCTTTCAAGACAATTAATGGTTAATCGGGAAAGTATACGTCGCCCGTAGTAGTTGAACCCTGCACCTTTAGAGTGCAAGGCAAAGCGTCCATGCTCACTCCAGTGTTTACCAAACTAGCGGCCATGTGGCCTGATGGGTGCGAAAAATGTGTTGTCCCTAAAAATGGTAGTCGATTTCATTACTAGACAGAATAATCAATCGGGCAATTAAACTATGCACTAGGCGTACAGGAAATACAGAATACATACCATTAAAGCAATACATGAAAAAAGTTTAAAAAGCATGGATTGTCGATGTAAAGAACATACATTCGTCGATCCAGAGCGAGCACCATTCGGTTAAAAGTGATGAGTACATTTCCGTGTTAATCTCCTCCATTAAACAACGTTCAAGAACCCGAGGAACGACGTGATCAAAAAGAATGGAGAGATGTCGACGACCATGCTTCGCAATGAATATCAGAATTCTTTGTACCGGATAAAGTAGATCGAATTCGCTGTGGAACAGCAGCGGTTCAGCGTCTGACAATGCATCAGAAGATAAACATACAAAAACAGTTCAAAAAGTAGACATAACAATTTAAAAATTAGACATAAATAAATGTAAATAAAACGACTAAGTAATAATCAGATCCAACACTGGCCCAAAACCGTCGCAACTTCTAAACAAATTGAAGAAGCTCTGAGATCACAACTGAAAGACTAGATTATCAATCACCAAATTTATAATATTTAGATTGTTTAGAGAGGAATCATCAACAGAAAAATAACTCTTAAATACGTTCCAGAAACTGAGAGTTGGCAAAGCGTTGGACAAACAGTCGAAAGATAGTGAACTGAAGCCTAGGTCGGGTCATCAGCCTTTCATTCTTCTACGACAAGTAAAAGAACACCGCTTAGAAAATGATCAGCTAAATTTTTCACAGTAATTGAAACAATGCCTTTAAAAATATGACATTCCTGACTGATGGAAAAGAAACTATGATCAGCACCACATCAAAGCTCCATGATAGAGAGGTACTACAAACGGTACTCATTATGGAAGTGTAACAGAGACGGACATCCCAATGGCTGCAGAAGCACAAAGAGTTCTTTGAAATGAGACATAACAAAATGTGAGTAAACAATTTGAATAAACACTATTATATCAACTGTTTTCGAGGCAACTGCCGCAGAAGCATTTTTACAGGAGTGCTGAAAGGAAGCAAAAAAATATACACGGACGTGCAAGTAACTGTAGTAACTAAACAATAAGTAACTCAACAAATTATTTCGAGAATAATTAAATTTACAAAGCGGTATCCATGTAAGTGTATAAACAACAACCAAAGCAAATGTGAAAGCAAGTAAAAACAAATATGCACATAAGTGGCGAATTAAACAAATCAACAAACACGTAACTAAGTACATGAGCAAGAAAGTAAATGACATAGGTACTAATGTTTCTAAGTATGTAGGTAAATATGTAAGTAAGTAACCAAAGCCTTAAAAGTGATAACGATGCTGGAATTGATGAAATCCGCCCTGAAATGCTTAATGGTTTAGGCGAACAAAGAAAACTGTGGGTAACATATGTCTACCAAACAGTAATGGCTACGGGGAAGACACCTGCAGATTGGAGAACGGAGTTTGTAGTAACCATGTTCAAGAAGGAAGACCACATGGAGTGCTCCAATTATTGGGACATTACCAAACTGAGCCTCCCAGGTAAAATCAACGCAAAGGTGCTAGAAAGGAGGTGCCGTCGAATAGCTGACTCAAGAATACAATGTGGCTTCCGGCCCGGTCGAAGCATCTATGACTATATATTCGCCCTACGTCAGACTGTCGAGAAATCCTGGTAGCTCGCCCATCAGATCTATATGTACTTTGTTGACTTAGAGAAGGCCTATGACCAGATTCCGCGCAACGGTCTGTGGGCATGCCTGCGGATATAGCGGATCAATGGCCAGTTGCTACGGACTATTCAACTACTATATGATGATAGAAGGTGCTGCGTCACTTTAAACTGAGTTAAGTCGAAACCTTTCAGCGTTGACACTGGCCTCCGCCAAGGATGCGTTCTGTCCCCTCTCCTTGTGTTGTACATGGATAGAACAACCAGGCACAGCCAAGGCGATATTGGGACTAGAAGGTTGCTGTTTGTAAACAACCTTGTTTTATTAGCATCTTCCGAAACTGATCTCCAGTGCTCCTTAGAAAGGTTCGCAGCCGAGTGCAACGTGACCGGCATGCAGATGAACGCATCTAAAACGAAAGGCCTAGTGCTATCGTTTTCCTGCCCGTTGCTCTCCTCAGATTAACAAAGAGACAGAGGAGCAAGTGGGGAAGTTCAAATACCTCAGCGAGGTATTTGCAGGTGATTTAAAATAAAAAGACGAGATCGACCGGCGGACTGGAGTAACCAATGGCGCTCTGCGTAAACTAGACCTAATTACTGTGACCCAAGCAGAGCTGAGTCTGAAGATCAAGCTATCGGTGATGAAGTCGATTTTTATGTCGATGCAAACCTACGGCCGTAGCTGAGAAACTTCGGTCGGGTACAAGCTGAAATGGGTATTCTGACATGAATAGCTAGACTGACGAATCTCCACATGGCCCAGGATACGTATATTCGAGATAGTTTTGGTGTAGAGCGGTTGTTTTTCCTAACCGAAAAGTCACAACTGCGCTAGTTTGGGCACGTCCAGTGTATGCCTTCAAAGGGGAAGGCGAAAGAGCTACTACTTCCCATCCGATCGACCAAAGAACCAATGGACAGCCAACAAGTGTTTTAACACATTCTGCTTCGGACTTGAATTTTCTTCCGCAGAAGCTCAAATGGCCGCACAAAAATAGGAATGTTGTAGATACTCTCTGACACTTCTGCATCCGCTGTCCAAAAAATAAACGGTCATCGAAAATGACTAAGCAATAAATATCTACGCAGTTAAACGAGTGTGCGAGTACCTTCGGAAACTCTTACGTCGTGGATGTAATAAAAGCCTGATCTTCTCTTAGTTCAGGACGAGGATTTTCAAAAATTTAATCGAGAATATTTCGACCGAAAAACGTCAGTCGAGAAGAGAGATCGAACAGGGTTGTAAATAAACAACTGAATGAATAGGCAAATAAAAAAGTAACTCAAGAAGTTACTTAATTAAAAAATTACAAAATTTTAATATTCAAACGCTAACAGACTGCGTGCATATTCACTGACTTATTAACCTACTTGCATGTGTACGCAGAAGGTGCGATCCAGATTTACCGAGCGCAATAGCGAATCAGACTGCTCAACAATGACCACCTGCTGTTCGATGCTGCACGGTGGACCCTGTAGTTCAATTTTTTCTTTTCAGTGTTGAGACCTTCGGCAGCTGTTCGAAAAAGCGCCGTGGCTGTTACCGATTTCGTGCGGTTAACGTGAACGACTTTTCGTCTCCTTGGTAATGCTGCAGGTACATCGTGGTGTCCGCGAACGATGGTCCGTCTATCTTCTGTGTCGCACGATATCGTAGGGGATTTCCTGATAGCTGTGTCAAGAGGAATTCTTGAAATCGACGCTGACCTGTGAACACAGCCACTATACTTTACTTTCTGATGCTGAGGTTTTGGCATTGATCGAGGATCAATGCCGTCATCGATACATGATTTCATCTGGTCAGCGTGGACGGTCTTCTCTGTGCTCGGTAATGCTGCTGGCATATCAAGATGTTCGCAAACGATGCTCCGTATATCTTTTGGGATATACCATATCGTAGGGCACATCCTCACAGCTGGGCTAAGCGGAAATCTGGAAATCGATGCTTACCGGTGGACATTTGTAGTTTAGTTTTCCTTTTGGTGCTGAGATCTCCATCACTGTTCATAAAGGTCCCGTCATTTCTACAGTCGATGCGGGATTTCGTCTGGGCCACGTTGACTACCGTTCTTGTATTTATTACTGTTGGTAGTACAACACGTCCATGAATGATTTTTTGTCCATCTTGTGGGTCGCACTACATTACAGGGCACTAACTCATTAGAGACCCAAGAGGACACCTTTTCTTTTGGCTTCTTCCAACTTGTGAAGAACCTGGTGTATGTCAGCCAAGTTTCGAGCTCTTTATCGAGCTTGTATACTTCTGGCCCAGTACAGGGCCGCCACATCGTAGGAACAAGCTTTGTTATGACGCCAATCGCTCCTGCAGTATTCGCCATAGACGCAATAATCTGCGGCTTCATAGCAAAATTTTTTTCAAACGTCAAGATTTAACTCCGCCCTTGGTTGCCGGTAACAAGTTCCGATGAGAAAGCATGAGTGTTAACTCTCTTCAGATTAACGGAGAGGCAGTGGAGCAGGTGGAGAAGTTCATGCACCTCGGAACTGTATTTACTAGTCATGGAAAATTGGAGGAAGAGATTGACCGG